CCCTCCACTGGGTCCTGCCACATTCTAATGACTCTGCGACTTTGTAACCAAAATCCACCTTGGAGCGTTTAAAATCCCGCCGTGCCAGTGAGAGCCCGCAGGAGACAATGGTATTTAAACACCTGCCTGTACCTGGGGGAGTAGTAGGGGGGGGGGCACCGGCTTCAAAGCTGCCGGAAACAATGGGAGGGAGAAAGGGGGCCAGCCAGTAACCACTGAGCCTTCTAAATCCCAAGATGCGTTACAGTGATTAGCCGCTTTCAAAGGGACTAATACATCACAGGCAAGGGCCGAGGGGCGCGTCCCCGGAAGTTATTACGAAAACCAACCCCACAGTAACATTACATTCTGGCCCTGGATGCCCAGCGCCCCAGACATGCCAATGTCGGGCTCTGGGAGCAACCAGTGCCCCCTAACAGCTCAGCAGGGCGAGCTAGGGGGTTCCCAGATTGGGCATACGTGAATGTTAAAAAGCCGAGGCTAGCACACTTCTCCTGTAAGGGCAGCCCCCCACCCCCAAAAGAAAAACACAAACCTTTCTGACTCATCTTTAAGGGAGCAGGCTGCCTCATCTTTCTCCCAAGGAGTGGCTGGTGGGTTTCAACCATTGACCCTGTGGTTAGCACCCAAAGCCTAACCTTCAGCACCACTCTGGCTACTTCTGTAGGGACCAGGCAGTAAATGGGTTGTGTTAGATGGCCTCTCTCTCACAATGACTTCTATACCGTGGAATTGAGAGACCATCCACAGATGACATGCAACTGCATGCGTGTGGCTGTATTCTAATATAAGGACAGCCGCTGAAATGTGTCTATACAACGAATTTCACGTCACTTTCCCATGCCACAAGTACCCTTCTTTTTCTCCCTCCCCCCATTTAAAAATGAGAAAAATGATCCTCAGCTCTCGGGCTACACAAGCACCAGACACAGGCGACCTCTGACATGCAGCTGGGAGAGGGGTTGGTGTCAGGAGGCGTGGATTCCCACGCTATGGGATTCAGCACCTCCCCTGGAAAATGGGGACCCACCCGCGTGGGGCTGGTGGGCACGGAGATACGGTTAACGTCCACCTGCCATTCCACGTGGCGCTGCATTTTGTGGTTAAGCCGACTTCACGCCATGTCAGGTCTGGGAGCTTGAGGCCTTTCATGCTGCAGCGACAGGTCCTACCTGCAGACAGCCTGACTTGGGTGCGAACCCCAGCCTGGCCACTTCTGTTGTGTAGCTTTGAGCTACTTCCCATTCTGGACCTCAGCTTCTCTATCTGTTAAATGGGTTGTCGATCTTCCAGGAGGTCAGCAGGACTCCGCAGGCCAGTGCCTGGTGCCCGGCTAGTGCAGAGAGACGTCAGCGGCCGTTCTAACAGCGCTGTGGTATGTCTTGGGCTTTGTGAGTGTCACACAAGCCCCATGTGGGGCAGCCAAGCACCTCAGGAGGACATGCCTTAAACAGGCCGGGGCCTGACACGCCCTGCCCGCACCCTCTGCGCTTACTTTCCACCCCATTCAACCTGCAGCTCTCTGCTTCTCCAGGCTGGCGCTAGGGGAGGCAGGCCTGGAGGGAGGGGGATGTTCTGTTAGGGAGGGGAGGGCCAGGCCAGAGAGCCTGCAACGGGGGTGGCTCACGCACCAGTGTACACCAGCTCGGCGAATTTCAAGCCCAGGCCTTGCTTGATTTTGCGTACTTCCCGATCCATGGTGAAGGCTTCGATGTCTAAGTGAGCGTGGTAAAGGATCGTCCCTGCTGGGGTCTCGTAGATACCTAGCCATTTTTCCAGGCAGGGGGAAAAGGAGAAAAAAGACAGAAACACATGAAACCCAAACCTGTCAGCAAATGTGGAAAAAAAAAGGAAGAAAGAAAGGAAGGAAACAGATATATATAATGACTCATCTGACAGGAGACAAGCCGGTGGGACCCATTCACTCCCAGCTTGCCGCAAAATGCACCTGTCATTATGTTCATGCTGGGGCCACGACAGTCCACTCTGCGGCTTGTGGAGAAAATGTCTAGATGCCCCCCTTTGAAGAGGCCCTCAGTCGCTGGAAAATGACAGGGTTTCGGAACAGCCCCCCCTCCTTCCAACGCATGCCCACCGGCCCACAGCTGAAAACCTGTAATTAAACCAACTCCGACGGAGCCCAGGGCCCCAAATCTCCTTTCCTCCCTTCCACCGGGGAGCCAGGGGAGGGAGCGGCTGCATACACGTGCACACACGTGCACACGGATGCTCCTCTCCAGAGAAAGCCTGACCACTGATGTGGCGGGGGGCTCTGCTGCCCCCTGCACAAACTCCACGGTGTAGATGGGGAAGCTGAGTGGGGCTGGGAATGGAAGCTAGGTCCCCAAGTCTTGACCAGTAGGACCTGCTGCCCAGTGGGTCAGCTGGTCGTGGGAGGCAGTCCAGATCCAGAGGCCTGGCAGGGCGGGGCAGGGCAAGGGGTGGGGGGGTCCTGCTCTTCTCCTTCTCATCTCAGGCCCAGTTCATTTGCCAAGCAACCTGCGTGGGGGCCACCTGGTCTCCGAAGTGGCACAGAGGGGCTTAGTTCTGGGCCAGGGCGCCACGAGGAGCCCCCACTCACAGTCTCACACAGCATGTGAGGGTCGGAAGGCATCAAGCAGACTTGCTCCAGCTTGCCTGACCCCAGACTTCCTCTTACCCCAGCCTTGGGCACACTGGCTTGTGTCCCCTGTCCCCAAGAGGAGGGGCAGCAACGGCTTCACTCCCACTCATCCTCCCTCCGAAGTTTCTTGCGCCCCCACCTCAGAACATCGCAGATCAAAGGGGGGGGCACGCTTTCAGTTACGCTGCAACCCCCTCTTCCTGTACCAGAGGCTTAAAAACAGCAACACGACAAGGGTGTCATCACAACCCTGGAAGCCAAAAGGGATCGTGGGAAGCTTGGGAGTCCTTCATGGGTCTGACCCAGAGCTGTCCTCCGGTGGGAACTTCAGTCTGAGAATCACAGAAATGTCGGGGAAACAAAGGGAAAACCTTTGGAGCCAACCTGGTTAGGGTTGTCCTTTTTGAGCGGGCAAACCCATTGATGCGATCACAGTTTGAAGCCCAGCAGAGACGAGGCAGCCAAGACCCCACTAGGGGCGCGAAGGCCCTTCAGCAAACCTGGGCTCCCGTGAGCAATCCTTAAAAGCAAGCACCCATCTGGTCCAACATGCCCGGAGAGGGAAGTGATTGGCCCAAGGTCACCTTGGGCTTTCCCATCTCTGCCTCAGGTGGTCTCTCAGGGCCTTGGGCAGACGCCATCCAATTCTGACCACAGCACAAACACAAACACACGCATCGGAATCTGGAGTTGGCGTGGGAGAAGCCTGGGTTCTTACGCTGGTCCCAGGGTTTTCCTGAGGGAAAAGAATCTGTCTGGGCTTGGTGTTCTTATGGGTAAACTCGAGTGCTCAGTTTCAGGGGCACTCTCTAGCCCTGTGATTACACTGTGCCTCAAGAGACCGCCACCCTCATTGGGTGGGCCATCTCTCCTGTCCTGGGTCAAGTTAGGGTCTTTGAGGGGGAGATGTCCTCCCCAACAGCAAAACACCAGTGTCTTCCAGTGTAGGCACCAGTCCCAGAGGTGCTCCTCAGGTGCCACGCTTCTCAGAGATGCCACATTCCCTAGAGGATATGCTTTGAACGGGCTCACAACGCAGCCGTTCCTGCGGAGCTGCTCAGTCAAGAGGGGCCCAGGAGGCTGGTGGAGCCAGAGCCCGGTAGATGCCTCAGACAAGCCACGTCGGGGCACAGCAGGGACAATGCAGCCCCGAGAAGGCCACAGGAGTCAAGGTCACTGTGCCGGGCAGCACGGCCGAGTGGCGGCTCTGAGCAGGCCTGGGCAACCCAGGCACGGGAAGAACGTGTGGAAGCACCATAAACAGGGACAACGGTAAAGGCCAAGTCCCCAGCTCTCTCAGAGAAATTGGATCCCCGAGAAGGCCATTTCCGTGGAGCTACCAGAAGCCAGGCACTGACCAAGCCCTCTAGGCGTTCTCACCAGGCACACGCGAGGAACTCAGTATCCCTTGAGCTCCCTCCTCATCTGTTTTGTCACATTTCTGGGAAAACCTCAAACACCGGCAGCCAAACCCATTGCTTCGGAGTCAATGTCTACTGGTGGTGATGCTATGGGGCAGAGATGCACCGTCCCAGAGGGTTTCCGAGGTGGTGAGTCTTCCCGGAATCGGGGGCTGTGTCGGCCTCCGACACAGCGCCTGGTGGGTTT